TCTGAAGAAGAGCTGGGTGTAACTCAAAAGCTTATATCTCTTACAAACAGAAGTTAGTCCAGTAAAAGATATTACCTCACCCCCCCCCTTGTCTCTCTAAGTTTCCCCAAATGTTAATTTAGCCAGAAAATCTCATCCCATTAGTTACCTACTTAGTTGACTGGAAACAGCAGCCTGCCATATCCAGCACTTTCTTGGAGACTGTGTCCTTCCCAAGCTGAGGATCTTCAAGCTATCACTCCTCCCTTGTTGAGGAAAAAGACTCTGAATAGTAAGGTTCTGCTTTTTGACTCATTCAACTGCAAAGCCTAGACCCATTGTTCCCCATCTTTTGCCTGTCTTTGATAAAACGGTTAAACCTTCAAGTAATTGCTTGTGCCACATAAAAACATTTATCAACTATAAATTTCAACCAAGAAACAACACAAGGAAAGCAATGCATAGAAACTCAAGCTATTCCAGCTTGATCAGTCAAAATTACTGCATGGAAATGAGTGCACAAAGAAGACATGCTTTTTCTTCTCTGAGGAAAGATTGCTTGAATCTTGGCTGGATGACAAATTCCTCCTCTATTCCACCCTGTCAGTTTCTAATAGGGATTTTTGTGTATGAGCCACAGCACCTCTAGAGACATGCAGGAAAAGATGAAGTTCCCCACAAAACAAAGGCTAGACCAAGCTGCTTGGGGATGGGAGGTAGGGGGAGGGGGGAAATCCCATCCCATTTCCAAATATGGTGATCAACAGAATTCTGAGTACCACAGCAAGAATCCCTTATATAAGAATTAGGACACAGAAGCCATGACAAACCAATGAATCACCAGAGTTCAGTGACAACTCTAGCCCATCTACTAAACAGATAACTAAAAGATGTCGATAGAAGCTTCTAGCTCACCAAGTTGAGAGCTAGGGTTAGTTCCAGTTTGAAGCCTTTTATCCTAATGGAGGTAGGCATTGATTGGCATGAAAAGAGTCAATATTTCTCATGCTTTTCAGTAGCTAATGGCTATACCAGGTGGTTAAAGACTCCTTCAAGTCCCACAGGGCAAAGCAAAATGCTGATTCCTGCCTACATGGGGGACAACATTTCTTTTTCAAGGAATTATCCACAAATCCTCATCATTGGGTTCCTCTTACCTGCGACAGCATAGGGACAGTTATAAAGCAATGCAGTAGATGATGCCACAGTGAGGAATTCTTCAGAAACTGTGTCCATCAGACAGACTAGCAAAAGGCTGATGGGTGAAAAGATTTTGTTAATTTTCCAATTGAGATTTAGTCTTAGTTTTTTCTACTTATGCCAACTGTTTTTCTTTTTTTATCTGGTTTTTACCTGTATTTCTTCCTGTTCCTCTCTGCTGTACTCAGTATCTGTCTGGCCCAGTCTCCTGCTGCCAGGCAGCTCGGAATGGCAGACCCAGAAACAAGTGCACAAAGAAGAGGTTGCTTTTCCTACTCTGAGGAAAAATTGCTTGAATTTTGGCTGGATGACAAATTCCTCTTTTCTTCCACCCTGTCAGTTCCTAATGAGAATTTATGTGCCTGAGCCACAACACCGATAAAAGACTGGTCTTTCCCCTCATACAGTGTCTCACATCAAAGGGCCTTTTTAAAAAAAGGCAGGGAGAATGCAACCCAGCAGCTGCTGTTACCAGCAGAGACAGCAAGGACACCAAGAATAACTCTTCAGGTGAAGTAAGTGTCCTTGACCTTATGCTGTTTTGGCTATCCCTTTCATGACAAAGGAAATAGCCTGAAGACTCTCTTGTACATTACCCTAAAGCTGGCAGGCCTGCACTGCTTCTCATCATCTTTGTTCCTTATAGCCAATAAGCTATGCAAAATGGTAATGAAGGTCCTGACAGTCTGATGATGTAGGTCAAGTGAAGCTTGATAGCCATACCCTTAGAAGACAAGCATCTTTTGAGTCAGACTCTGGATAAAGCAAAACAGCAGGCCTTATTTCATAAGATTACAAAGTTTCTGATACTTTCAGAAAGACTACAACTTTTATCTCTCCTCAGCGAAGTCCAGCTTCCGGTCTAAGTTTTAAAGGTTTTCATGAACTGATCTCCATGGATTTCAGACAAATTATGAGTATTCCAGGGGAACTGAAGACTTCCTGACACAACAGGTATTGGCAAGTCTCGCCTTTCTTGAGAGGTAGGATCTGCCATTATCTGCCTGATAACTACAAATTGTTGGAGTTTATGCAATAGAATTCAAGCACCTAGTCATGAAGCACTTTTTATTCCATCCCCAATTTTTTCAGACTGGGAGAAATGGCAGCAGATCAAGACCATTTGCTGCTGCAGGACATTCAAGTAATAAGTATACTAGATGGTTGGAACTTAACAAAAATATGTCAGTGCACAAGGGGGAATAGACTATTGCTCACTCAATCTTTGCTGTTCTAGTTCTAGTCTTAAAAGGGCTAAAATTAAAAAAAAAAAACCTTCTCTGTCACTAACATCAGTAATCATGTCTCTGAATTGCCATTTTTACATAGATGCTTTTCAGGATAGAACTCCAAATTGAAGTGGTGTTCATTATGGTCAGAACCTTAGCTCATAGCGTGAGTAAGCTGGCTGCTCAGTCTTGCTTGTTTCCTGTTGTACTTTGTCCTGGTGAAAGCCACACTTAAAATGTTACCATCTTTTTAAACCTAAAGTGGATTCTCAACACCATTGGGATCAGGACAGTCACATTCCCTACTTTTTTGCCAATCCAAAATCCTCAAATGAAAGAGAATCATGACTCCTGTTTTCTATTTCATTAGAACACAGCAGTTCAGGTCCTGAGATTTCCTTTTTATTTTTGTTGAAGGTCCCAAGTATAAGGGTAGGAAGTCCCTGCAGTGTATAACAAAGTGGATCACACTGATTTGCATACCATTTTAATACCAGTTATATTTGTTCCTTGGCAGTAAATTCTCACTTGACTTTAGTGATAGCTGACTCTTGGACCCAAGATTGTGTCCTGTCCTAGCCATTAAGAGTATAAAAATGGCCATACAGGGTCAGACCAATGGTCCATCTAGCCCAGTATTGTGCCTTCTGACAGTGGCTTATGTCAGATGCTTCAGAAGGAATTAACAGAACAGGACAATTATCAAGTGATCCATCTCCTGTTGTCCAGTCCCAACTTCTGGCAGAGATTTAGGGACACCTAGAGCATGGGGTTGCGTCCCTCACCAGCTTGGCTAATAGCTGTTGATGGACCTATCCTCCATTAACTTATCTAATTCTTTTTTGAACCCAGTTATACTTTTGGCCTCCACAACATCCCCTGGCAACAAGTTCCACAGATTGACTTTACATTGTGTGAAGACATACTTTCTTATGTTTGTTTTAAAGCTGCTTTATATTAATTTCATTGGGTGACCCCCTAGTTCTCATGTTATGGGAAGGGGTAAATAACCGTTCCCTATTCACTTTCTTCTTCACACCATTCATGATTTTATCATATCCCTCCTTAGTTATTTCTTTTCTAAGCTGAATAGTTCCAGACTTTTTAATTCTCCGCATATTAAGCAGTTTCATGCCCCTAATCATTTTTTGTTGCCCTTCTCTGTACTTTTTCAAATTCTGATATATCTTTGGGAGATGGGGCAACCAGAACAACATGCAGTATTCCAGGTGTGGGTGTACCATAGGTTTATATGGGAGCATTATTATATTTTCTGTCTATTAGCTATCCCTTTCCTAATGGCTCCTAACATTCTGTTGGCTTTTTTGACTGCTGCTGTGCATTGCACAGATGTTTTCAGGGAACTATCCATGATGACTCCAAGATCTCTTTCTTGAATGGTTACAGTTAACTTAGACCCCATCATTTTGTATGTATATTTGGGATTATGTTTTCTAATGTGCATTACTTTGCACTTTTATCAACACTGAATTTCATCTGCCATTTTGTTGTCCAGTCACTCTGTTTTGTGAGATCCCTTTGTAACTCTCTGCAGTCAGCTTTGGACTTAAGTATCTTGAGTAATTTTATATCATCTGCCAGTTTTGCTGCCTTACTGTTTACCCCCTTTTCCAGATCATTTATTGAACAGCACTGGTCCTGTACAGATCATTGGGGACCCCACTACTTACCTCACTCCCCTCTGAAAACTGACCATTTATTCCTACTCTTAATTTCCTATCTTTTAACCATTACCGATCCATGAGAAGTCTTTGGCGTGGGACCTTGTCAAAGGCTTTGTGAAAGTCCAAGAAGTACACCATATCCACTAGATCAGTGGCAGCCCCCATTGGCCTGGAGTGGCGAACCCCGGCCAGTGGGAGCCGCGATCGGCCGAACCTGCGGACGCGGCAGGTAAACAAACTGTCCCAGACCGCCAGGGGCTTTCCCTGAACAAGCGGCAGCCCTAGTTTGAGAACCACTTCACTAGATCTCCCTTTGTTCATATGCTTGTTAAAATCCTCAAGGAATTCTAATAATTGGTTAGGCTTCATTACTCTTTACAAAAGCCGTGTTGATTCTTCCCCAACATATTGTGTTTCAATCAGTTTGCCTGGTATTGAAGTCAGGGAGAAGGGGAAGGCCAAGGGAGGGGGGTGGGACAAAAATAAATGAAAGCCTGACATGTCATATACTGTGGATAGTGTATGAAGTTATTGCTATAAAATTAATTGGTAAAGTATTTTGAACTGAAGCTTTGGTGAGGTGGACAGGTTTCTCCAAGATGGGACCACTGAAAACCCACTCAGTTGTATAACGCTTCTACATATGTAAAGGGAGAGAGACTCTTACACAAATGTAATTTACATGTAAGGGAGAATTATGTTTCGAAGAGTAGTAACCTCAAGAATTGATGCTTAATTGATGACACTGTATAAAAGACAAAATAATGCACAATGATTTTAACTTGAATTTTGCAGTGATACCTTTTGACCATAAAGCTAATGCATTAAAAGATATATTATCTCCCTTGCATATTTTTCCAACTATCAATAGTATTATTAACAAGATTCCTATTTGCTTGTTTGACAGAACCCAAATCAATTTCACAGTGGCTATTGATTTCACAGCATCAAATGGTGAGTAGCAAAAGTAGCTTCTTGTAAAATTGAATGCTATGTCCAGCTTCAGAACAATTTTTCTTTAGTACTACATATGTATTTCTATATTTATTCTACACAGCTTAGATTTGCAATTATTGTGTATTATTTGTGTCACTATAATGCTTAGTGGCCCCAACTGTATCAAAGCCCCATTATTATAATGTACAAACATAGAGTAAGAGAGAGTTCCTACCCCAAAGAGCTTATAGTTTAAATAGACAAGACAGACAATGGGTTGGGAGGAAGAGATATAATAAACAAACAAAGTGAACATTGTGATGGCCTGCAAACATCATGTTCATTATTATCAAGGCAAGGAGGCCAATATGTCCATCATTGGCGATCTTATCATGCCACCAAAGCTTTTGGTGACCACATGATCCCTCACCGTGTAGCAGCATTCCTTAGTAAACATGCTTTGTAGTTCGTTAATCTTCCATCCAAGAAAGCCTTCAAAACCAAACCAGTGCTGATAGAGGTGGTTGCTGAGTTCAGCCATGAATATCTTCATTGCTAATCTTCTCCTGCAACTTATATGAAATAGCTGATGAAGACAACCAGAAACAAGATGCACAGTCAACCTGTGTCACTCCTTTCCAGAGGATGTTGTGAAGGCCAAGACTATAAAAAGGTTCAAAAAAGAACTAGATAAATTCATGGAGGATAGATCCATGAATGGCTATTAGCCAGGATGGGCAGGGATGGTGTCCCTAGCTTGTGTGTGCCAGAAGCTGGGAATGGGCGACAGGGGGATGGCTCACTTGATGTTTACCTGTTCTGTTCATTCCCTCTGGGGCACCTGGCATTGGCCACTATCGGAAGACAGGATACTGGGTTAGATGTACCTTTAGTCTGACCCAATATGGCTGTTCTTATGTTCAAAAACATCAGTTCCCTGCTCTTCAGCCTTCCTCAGCACCCACGTTTTATTTCCATGAAGTAAAGATAGTGTAACTGTTTTGTATAAATCTTCAGCTTTCTGGTAAGTTTGATGTCACAAAGTCTCCACAAAGGCCACTGAAGAGCTCAAAATGTGGTGTCAGTTACTGCTATGCAACCATTTATATCTTTCAAACATCCTCGAGCATTGTCTATGATGCTTTCCAAGTACTTGACAGTTGTCACCTGCTCCGTCTCCCATCCAAACAAGTTAATACTAAGCTGATTGTAATCTAGATTTGGAGGCTGCTTGAAGGTAATTTTATCTGAATTAATAATCAGACCAATGTGCGCTGCTTCTTGCCTGACCATATCAGCCATCAGCTGTAGTGATTCACCATATTGAGCCAACAAGGCAATGCCGTTGTCATATTTGAGGTCTCAAAGTAACATGACATTCACCTCAGTGCCACTGACAGATGCCTCTTCAAGCTTACCCCTCAACCAGCAATGGTGATATTGAATAGCACTGGCGATAGAAGAGAGGCAAGGTAGGTGGGGTAATAACTTTTATTGGACCAACTTCTGTTGGTGGAAGGGACAAGTTTCCGAGCTTCACAGAGTTCTTCCTCAGGTCTAGATAAAGTAACCAGAGTGTCCAAGCTAAATAAAAGGTGGGACAAACTGTTAAGCAGAAGGGGTTCATACATGCTGTAGGAGATCACTTAAAATGAAATCGGCAATTAACATCCCTTCAGTCGTAGGACAATAGAGGGTTAGCAGAGGCAGTAGGATGTGTTACAAATTGTTATAATGAGCCATAAAATCAGTATCCCTGTTAAAAATATGGTTTTTAGTGTCCAGAAAAGTTATGAATTTAAGTTCCCAGGCTCATTTTTTGAAGGTGATGTGCAGGTTTCCTTCGAGGATGAGGACTGGGAGGCCAGATATGGAGTGATTGCTTTGTGAAAAGTGTTCACTGACGGGTGATAGGTGTTTTTAGAATCATAGGACTGGAAGGAGGGACCTTGAGAGGGACCAAGTCCCCTGCACTCATGACAGGACTAAGTATTATCTAGACCATCCCTGAGAGGTGTATGTCCCACTTGCTCTTAAAAATCTCCAATGATGGAGATTCCACACCTTCCTGGTCAATTTAATTCAGTGCTTAACCACCCTGACAGGAAGTTTTTCCTAATGTCCCACTTAAACTGCCCTTACTGCAATTTAAGCCCATTGCTTCTTGTCCTGTCCTCAGAAGATAAGGAAAATAATTTTTCTCACTCCTTTTTGTAACAACTTTTTATGTACTTGAAAACGTATGTCCCATCTCAGTCTTCTCTTCTCCATACTAAAAAACCCCAATTTTTTCAATCTTCCCTCATAGGTCATGTTTTCTAGGCCTTTAATCATTTTTGTTGCTCTTCTATGGGCTTTCTCCAATTTGTCGACATCTTTCCTGAAATGTGGCATCCAGAACTGGGCACAATACTACAGTTGACGCCTAGTCAGCATGGAGTAGAGCAGAAGAATTACTTCTCATGTCTTGCTTACAACACTCCTGCTAATACATCCCAGAATTGTTTGCTTTTTTTGCAATAGTGTTGCACTGGTGATTCATATTTAGCTTGTGATATTTAGCCTACTGAGCCATTTTCATCATAAGCCAGCGAGGGAGGTGAGGAGAAACTATCCTCCCTTGCACAGTCTCTGTTGTCTCCCTGTCTCAGTGATTAATAAGGGGAAGAAACGGGGGAGTCCAGGCCCACTCTCTACTCCGGGCTCCAGCCCAGGGACCCTAATAGTATCAGCTATGGTAGCTGACCTTTTAGAAACAGGACGCATACAATTCCCTGGGCTACTTCCCCACAGCAACCCCCACTTCCTCAAGCTCCACTTCACCCTTACCTCAGGGCCTCCTTCCTTGTGCCTGATATAGTGTGTACTGCTCAGTCTCTCCAACAGCGCAACATCCTCCCACAGCTCCTGACATGCACTCCCACCTGACTAACTGGGAGGTTTTTAACTAGTTTCAGCCAGCCCCTGATTGGCTTCAGGTGTCCCAATCAACCTAGCTGTCTCCACTGCTTTCTGGGAGGATCTTAATTGGCCCCAGGTGACTTGATTAACCTGGAGCAACTGCCATTTGGTTACCATGGTAACAGGGATTTGGTTAGCCTAGGGCTAACATACCTGTTTCTCACTACTTTCCTATAGCCATCTGGCCTTGCCCCATCACAGTTTGTACAGACCAGTACCCACCCCGTCCTGTCTAGAAGGTATATTTTGTCTCCTAATCTGACGCTTTCTATTGTGGCATGTCTTCAGCGGGATCCAGTGGTCTGCCTCTTTCTCACTTCAACTTGCAGGTTGTTGCCACTGGTCCTGGGGCACCGAAGGGTGAAGAATAATTACTTCCCCACAGGAGCTGACTGATACGGACCACATCTCTCCATCCATCTGGGCCATAAGTGATACCTACATTCTCTCCACAAATAGGAGAGTTTGAACTTGGGGACACTTCCGTTATTGTCAGTTGCCTATGAAGCTAGCCACAGAAACCACACATAATATATAGCACAGTAGGTAGGGAATCCAGGAGAACCACGTGTCTGAGAAGAAGTGCATCATAAATCCTACCTGAGAGCATCTTTCTTTTCTAAGTCCCTAGTCCCAGACAAAACTTACAAGATAGAGTTATGAATGACAGCATGTATCAGTAATTTAAGGTAAAATATACTTGAGGAATGTTGTAATTATCTGAAAAACAAGTATCATAAACCCAGAAATTTCAGAGTTAACCATGTTTGGATTTCTCTTAAATTTAACTTTAAGTTTAGAAATGCATATATATGACACCCAGACATCCTTAACTCTGCCCACTAATGCCATGCAACAGCTTGTGTGTTTATGATACAGGCATTTGATTGCAAATGTGCAGTCCCAGATTATATTAAACTGAGTTTTAAAGATGCGTAGGTTTTTTCCTCAGCAGTGTTTGTTGTAAATTTCATTAAAAAGTATAGTATATGTCAGCATTTCTAAAAATAAAAATTACCAGCCTACTCACTAGTATATACGCATCCTTATTATGATGAAAAAGCTAATGTTAATTTTGTTGCTCATTTAAAAAAAAATACTCAGGATCTTAGTACACTGAGATTTTGTATTCAGAATTCTGTTAGCCAGGAATGTATGTGAGAAATACATATCCCTCTTGTATTAGTTGATTTTTTTCCCATCCATATTTTTAGATTTCTTCTGTCTCTTTTATGTTCTGCTATGCCAGACAATAAATAAGAAGAAAAATTTTGCCTCACTATGTGTGGTCCACCATTGTATCTGGAAATGGAAGGAAGTATTCAGATTAATGACTGCAAATATTACAAGAAATAAATAACACCAGTTCTCCCCCAAAAGATATGCCATCATATCTAATTAAAC